AATTTACAAAGTTTAAAAGGACAATTCTCTACGTTTTTTTTAATTTCATCTTTAGTATGAGCATATTTACATTTATCTTTTAAAGGACATTCTTTTTTATCAAGTATATATTTACATAATTTAGTTTTTGCTTTTCTTATTTTTAATAATTCTGACTTTTTAGGATGAAATAATCTACACTCTTTATTCTTGCATTTAGAGTATTCAGAACATAGAGCAATATGTTTATATCTGCATGAAGCTTTAGTGCATATTAATCTTTCTTTTACAGTATTGCAATAAAGAATATCATGATTGTATTTACATTTTCTTCCAAAAGGACAAAAATCATCTTTTAATATATTTTTACAAAAAATAGGTAACTTTTCTACAAAATGAATCGTAGAAGGTAAAATTAATTTCAACATTAAATGGTTTTTCAAAACTAAATTTTCTGTTTTTGTTATGTTTTTTAAAAGAAGTTTTATCTATAATAGGATAATCATTATTAATAATATCATTATAAGTTGGAACATAATTAATCCATTTCAGTTTATCTTTATACAATTCCATAATTTGTACTGTTTTTGAAGGAATCGGAATTATACATTTTTCTTTAATTTCTTCCTCATCAGAATCATCAGATACGATAAGTTATAGATAAGTATGTATCATTTTCAGAGTCACACTCAGAATCAGATTCTTCAAATTCAAAGTTTTTTATTTCTTCAAAAAGTCTAAATTCTTTTTGAAATTCAGATATTTCATTAATCTCATCATAATTCATTTTATTTTTTATTATTTGATAAAATATTTTAAATCAAAAAATTTAAAATGTGTTAAATATTTTTCCTGTGTATATAAAAGAATGGAAAACGAAATGCAAAAAGAATTATTTGAGAAAATATTAGAAGAAATAAAATTAATAAAAGAAAGATTACTACAATTAGAAAGAACTACAAATTATAATAATGTTCTAGATTTTATTGGAAGAAATATGACATTTGCAGGACCTGGTACTAATTGTATGCTAGTGATGTCATTACTATTTATAAACCTGTTCCACATCAAATAATGAGAATTAGTTATAAAAATGAATCCAATCTATTTACTGGTAGTCTACATATAATAAAAATAAAAACACCAAAATTATTTTCATTTGGAGTATGTGAAAATAGAGACTTAAAAACAAAAGAACTTACAGGATATTCAATTCAACTTGTTTTTAATGAAATGAAAGGAATGACTGAAGAAGAAGAGAAATTTATTGAAATGATTCAATCTATTGAGAAATTATGTAGAGATAAAATTAAAGAAAAACAATTAGAAAAACTAGTAAAGAATTTTGATACTGATAACTTAAAAATTTTAAAAATTTTAAATTGTATCGATGATAAGGTCCGTGTTATATTTGCAAAAATACCAACAGAATATATGAAAAAGTTTAAATATAAAAAATGTAAAAAAATTTCAGGGCATAGTCTTATTAAAAAAAAATTCTATATTGTTGCAGATTTAATAATTGAAGGTGTTTATATTGAATCAGAAATTCAATCTATTCAAGTAATATTGTTAAATGCAGATGTATATCATGTAAATGTTATTGAAAGTACATATAATTAAATATTTTTAATTATTTTATTTTGTAAAAAATAAAATAAAGTCACGTGGCCTGTGACGTCACACAATTGAAACGAAATTGATACTAATTTTTAAATCTTAAAAAATGATTTAAAAATTTATTTCTTAGTTATATAATTTATACACATTATGGATAACATTGAACCCTATATTTAATTAAATATATGGTTAAAAATATGGTTAAAAATGAAAATGAACTAGAACCGGCATATTCCCTCTACTGCTAATTATTTAATATTTTCTAAAAAAATGTTCTTTAAAATGTCCTCATAAATGTAGATATTTTTTAAAACTGAGTACGACACCCGCGGATAGATATTTTCTACGACGAATGGCGACACGCAAAATACAGCCCACTTAATGTCTGCCGAGTAATCAGATAACACCCGAATAAAAATAAAGAAAACCATTTTAGCAACAATTGCGGTGCCTTATCACGCCGGCGCGTTGACGGATTGCTCTAAATTGATTCAAGATATATTTATTCATTTAAAATATAATTTTCCATTCAAATTCTTATATGACTGCTAAAAGTCTTTTACAGAAATCAATTATAATCTAAAGGGCATAACTTGGTGTAGGCAGGGCCGTCTCTAGAGGGTGAAAGGAAGGGGTTATCTAACCCCCTTAAAAAATTAATCCGCAAAATTAGTCAGCAAATGTTAGCCAATGAGGACATTTTTCGTTTTTTTTGTTTTACATATCTTAGTCGGCAAATAAATGTTTCAAGCCTCACTTGGCAAAAAAACAGATAAGCCCTTGGATGTAGGATATTTCCACATATATACTGAGATGAAACGAGGATATTTACTGAAATAAAATAAGAGAATGTTCTACAACTTCGCGGATAGACAAAAATCTTAGTTGACTCGTCAGACAAAAACCCTAATATAATTTAATGAAATTGTATTTGTAATAAAAATACGCATTTATAATAATAATAATAATATTTTTGATGTAAGGAGTTTTGCGGAAATATGGCAACACTTATGAAACACTTATAATAAATTTTTTGTTTTTACTACATATAATAAGTTCATAAAAAGTTAGTAAAAAAAAAAACCTATAAAAAACTAAATATTTTTCTGCCTTTTCATTTCTATAAAGTGTTTCATTAAAAAAAACATTTGTGCCCAAAATTGCCCGAAAGTTAAAAAATATCCGAAACCCAAAAATATGCGTTAATCTCAGTATTTTGCATTTGATTCTTAATAAACTTATAAATATGGAAATAATATACTTTTTGGCTTCTGCCTTATGTAGGCACTTCAGTCACGTGACTTTCCCACCTGGCAAGTTTAGAAAATAAATATTGGCACATTTATCGGCAATTTTTTTCGTGATATATTTTAACGCCATCTAATTTCAAACCCATCTGTCAGATGTATTTTATTTAGCGAAAGTTAAATAAAAATGATGATTTGTGAAGGTTATTCTTAAAAAAGAAGCAAAATGATTTTTCAAGTTGTTTTCCCCAAAGTTTTTTTTTATTTACAAGTAACTGTCTTAAGTATCTTTCATGGGTTCTCAAAAACCTTAAAAAAGATTATTCAGCTTATTAAAGTAAAATTTTTTTTAAATAATCATTTGTTTTTTAGGTCTGGACTTTGCAATTTTAAAAGTAAACTTTTCATCAATTTTTGATTTTTTTTCTTGACGCCATTATGGTACTCCGTTAAATCCACGTAGCTAGTTATTATTTATATGCATCTACAGAAAAGTGCTTATTTAAGTGAGAGAACACTGAGGATTGTGTAGTTTGTCTTCACTAGAACTGTTTAGACAAGCCACACAGTGCAAAGTGGGAAATCACATTGTCAAAAATCAAAATAATGACTAACATCAAATATAATGTCTGATTTTTTACTAACACTCTCACTACGAATTTTCTAATTTATAATATTCTTAATGCTACCAACTCAATTAAAGTGGCTTCTAAAAAGTTAGGTTTTTTAATTTGTTTTTAATAAAATATGTATTTTGATAAAATATGTATTTTTTATAATTTATTTTTTAAAGATATATAGATTATCGTAAAGTTGACAACATATACATCATTAGAAAGGTTATAATATAGGCTGTTAAAAATAAAAATAAAAAATTTATTGAAAAAGTTGGTACTGAAATTTTTATGCATTGAAAGTGGAAAATTCATCACAAAAGTACTAAATCTCAACTTTGATGAAGAATTAAAAAGTTGTTCCATTTTGAATCTTTTTATACTTTGATATTTTTCATTCTATAGCGTCTACTAACTACTTTGAGAAGTGTGGCTGCAACAATCAGCAATCTTGACCGCTAAATAATTTTGAAAAGTTTATGTTTTTTTAAACAAATAAAAAATTTCAACGAATAAAAATAATTACTTTTGTCATTCAAAACTAAAACAAAACAAAACAAAAAAAAACAAAAAAAAATACTTTAACGCATGAAAGACTAATGTAAATTTGTTTTTGTGTTGTTCTCAAAAACAAAAAAGCTATTTTCTAGTTTATTTTCAAGTGTTTATAGTTATAAAATACATGATTTGTTAAAGAAAAAACAACTCTACACTGTTAAAAAAATATCGCGTTTTTTACGGAAAAATAAAGTGTTGAAGGAAATTTCCGTACAAATTACGGAAAATATCTATCATCGTAATAACAGATATTTCCGTATTTAAACGTATATTTCCGTTAATATGTGACTGATTTTTCTGTAAAATAACGGAAAATTTCTGAAAAATCTGCTGCCGGAAATTTCCGTTGAAAGCGCAAAATTTACTATACAAAAAAACTCTTCTAAAAATGTATTCCTTAAACGATAAAAAAAAAATAATAACATAAATATATTCTGCATAATAACATATATATATATATATATATATATATATATATATATATATATATATATATATATATATATATATATATATATATATATATATATAATAACATAAATATATATATATATATATATATATATATATATATATATATATATATATATATATATATATATATATATATAATATATATATATATATATATATATATAGATATTATATATATGCTTTTAGAACAAATAACTGTTATCTTTCTTTCTTTTTGCGTTTTTTCTCGCATTCTCTTGATTATAGCCAAACATATCTCTAAACACAAAATAAATTACATAATCATGACATAGATTATAAATTAAAATCTGTGAAATTAAGAAAGATAAGCATATATTGTGAGCCTTCTTTTACTTTTTGCATAAGCTTATTTTTTCTTTTTAAATTTTTTTAAGCTTACATATTATTGTATAAGCTTTCGCATAAGCATTTTTCGAAGATTTTATATGCTTATAATATAAACTTTAGCTGCTTTGAAAAATTTGTTTTTACCTTAAAATCAACACAAGTAGTCTATTAACATTATGATCGTATCTTGTGTTCTTGATATGATGGACCATAAATAAATTCATCAAATGGTAGACCACAAGCAAAATTATCAGTTTAAAAATAACAATAAAAACATTATTAATATAATATAATAAAAATTAGTTTAAAAAAATTAAACGAACTCTTTAACTTTTTATTAAAATATAAATATTATTATTACATTTATATATATATATATATATATATATATATATATATATATATATATATATATATATATATATATATATATATATATATATATATATATATATATATACATTTACTATTTTTCTCTCTACATAGTATCCAGATTCAATACAATGCTTTTTCAGTGCTTCCAGATTCCATATTTATACTTTATGCTTTGTGGATTTTAACTTTTTAAACTTTCCATATTATAGCCAACCATATACCTAACAACACAAATACAAATGAGTGAAATAACAAATGAAAATATAAATACAGCAAAATCACGAATACAAATGAAAATATGAATACAGCAAAATTGTAAATCTTTGTCCGGAGTTTAAGACATTCAATTCTTAAAACAAAAAATATATTGCTTGTTTTAAGAAATAAACTTCCTATCCTGCAATTTATTTCTTAAAACAAGAAATATATTTCTTAAACTATAAACACTAGATTAACAATAATGCTGTAAATCTTAAAGCAAGAAAAAAATTCCCTACACTGTAATTTATTTCTTAAAACAAGTAATATATTTCTTGTTTTAAGAAACAAATTGGGGTATAAGAAATTTATTTCTTAAACAAGATAAATATTTCTTGTTTAAAGAACTAAATGTCTTAAAATATGGACTAAGATTTAAGATTTTGCTGTGAAGAAATGCTACTTGTAATACTTTTCATCAGTTAAAGATTTATTGTTCAAGATTTATTAGTTAAATCTTATGGATTACTTGGCATTAATTAGAAACTGTTTTAAAATATCTTTTTTCTTCTTAAATTTTTTTTTCACATTACTTTGTTAGAACTTCAATGAAAAAAATTTTTTTTTTCTAAAAAGAAAATATATACTTTTATCTCTTTTTCTTTACGTATGAATGTATCTACATATAGAGTATGCAGTGACTCCTACATCAGCACAACTTGCTCATTTCCAATTAACTCTAATTGATTCCATAAGCAATCATATATCCTGCAATTGAAGTGCACGCAGATGGTTTCAGAAAATAGAGAGTGTGATCCTTAATATATTGCTATTAGATCTAGAAAACATTTTTTATTTTATGTTGCAGATTTTAAAATATTTTAAGATATTGTTAAAAACATTTCATATTTTTAAATTTTGCTTAATTATATTTTTAACTATAAATACTAATATATAAATAATTGTGCAATTTAAATAAATTTTTGGGATAAAATACTAAAAACACTAAAATATTAAATAAGAAAGAAATATAAGATGCAATTTTGAAATAACAAGTAAAACATTCCCAAATTTTATTTATATAAAAATACATAGTTTATACACACACACATATAATATATGTGTGCATAAACTATGTTTTTTATATAAATACATATGTATATATACATATACTATATGTATGTATGTATGTATGTATGTATGTATGTATGTATGTATGTATGTATGTATGTATGTATGTATGTATGTATGTATGTATGTATGTATGTATGTATGTATGCATGTATGTATGTATGTATGTATGTATGTATGTATATATATATATATATATATATATATATATATATATATATATATATATATATATATATATATATAAAAGGTTAGCAAATTAAGCTAAGATCTTAGGATGATGTTTACATTTGATAAGTTCTACAAAAAAAAGGTACTATAAAACCATTATTTAAAGTAATAAATCTCAAAATCACTTTAGTAAATAAATAAATACTTCATAGCATTCACTCTACAAGAGATATGCATACTAAAATACGAAGAACATTCAAGCCTTCCACCTACAACTTAAATTTATTATATTATATACTAAATGACTAAATACTTTTCTAACTAAAAATGCATCATATTTTCATTTCTGGAAGTTATTCTGATCACCGAAGCACTTGAATTTTGAGAAAAATATTAAATATAAATCCAGAATGATTTAACAACAATAGACAAAACAAACAATACCTTTAAAGCAATAACTTAAGGCCTTCACATTTTATTTATTTGTTGGAAATTACCATTTTTATTTTTAATCCATACTATAGAGCATCACTTGATTCTATAGTATCAACAATAACTTACTATATATAGCCTTTTTACAATGTTGGACTGCTAGAAATAAGGTTTACGTTCAAAATCTTTTAGTGAACTGATCAAAACTGTATGTTTTGTATTTAAATTGTATGTAAAACTGATTTAGTTTTACATACAATTTTCAAAATCTTTTAGTGAACTGATCAAACTTTTTCTAAAAACAATCAGAAATAATGAAGAAAAATGATAGCAGATGTATTTATTTTATATAGAATTTTACTATTCTGCATGACTATCCTGCATGAATATTATAAACAAATAAATTTAATAATGTATTCTAATCATAGTTGTAATTTCTGGGGTAATCTTTATAAAATTGTTTTTTAATTTTTTTTTTTTAATATTTACTTGTAGATAACTTAAATATCTTATTTATAAAGATATTGTAATTAAATATTAATAAAAATGTAAATTGTTATAAAAAGTTTTTAAAACGATGAGAAATTCATCGGTCTTATCATACAAAAGCACTAGTGCTTAAGTAGTGCTATTTTAAAATTTATTTATTTTAAGCTACATATTTTAACATGTGAACTTTTTTTCCTTGGCTTTGAAATGATCCATTTTTTATATAACATGTTATGTGAGTGCACTTCCATAAATTTAAAATCACTCAAAATTGAACGAAGAATGCGCAAGTCTTGTGTCAAGAACCCTACTAAACATAGTCTCGTTCTAAGCAACCCAGGGGCCAAATAAAGCTCATGTAATTTTAAAATTAAAAAGAACAGAACAGTTTATATTAAAATGCCTGGTGAACTTTCTTCGCCCTGCAGGTGAAACTTCAGAACTTATTTTTGGAGATAAATGCGTACATAAAAATAACTTTTAAAAATCTTCAACATGTGTTTTCTATATAAATACAACGGAAATTTCCGTATTTGAAAATTTCCGTACATAATCGATGGATACATCCATATATGGACATACGGATATTTTCCGTTAAAATAACGGAATAAATTTCCGTTTTTTTAACGGAAATTTTTAACAGTGTAAAGTGCATTTTTGGTTTCTAAGTGATCGATCAAAAACTATACGAATTTCTAAATGTTGTTAAAAAATTTATTTTTAATTCGTGAGTATATTATTGTCAAAAAAAAGGAATTCGTCGAAAAAATATTGTTAGTGGGGCAAAAAACAGCATTTAATGAACGCGAATTTAATGAAGAATTTTTTGCATAATTCATAGATGTAAAAAAAAAAAAAAATGCTCATAAAGAAGCACCACGCAAAGTTCCATCTTATCGAGCAACTTCCAAAATAAAAAACGAGTGCTTCCCTTTAAAAACATCCTTTGAAGTTACAAAAGCCAAATTTAAACTACAGGACCTTATGGATCACACATCTAAAAAGCTTTTGTTGATATTTGGATGATAAAAAAAGACGAATTAATAGTAATTAGTAATATAACTATGGATGGAGCATCAAGCCACTTTAAATACCACTTTAAAGCCACTTTAAATATTTTATAAATTTCAATCAAAATAATTTTTATATTTCGAGTTTATAAACGCAACATCACCGCTTCGAAATTATATTCAAACATAATTTTACGATATGTATAGTAGAATATTTTATGAAACAATATAATGTCTCTGAGTATTAGATTCTGTAGAGCAATTATGCTGGAGTATTAAAAATTAAAGAGGATATTGAAAATTAAATTTCTAATTTATATTATGTTAAAATTCACCTTCCAGGACATAAGTTTTGATCAACTATAGTTTTTCCCTTTTAACGACTGGTGGGAATAACTTAGTTTAAATTACAGACTCTTCATCGACACAATGTTACACATAACATGATAAGCAATCTAAAAATCTTTAAGGAAGGATTTGTTACAGATGGACAGTCATTTTGCTATAGCATTTCACCACTACGTGCTTGAAATAAGCTTTTTTAAATTATTTTACTTATTTATTTCATATATAAGTGAAATAAAAAAATGAAAAAAAAAAAGAGTTTGAAAGATCAAAATTTATTAGGAAAAAAATTATTCATGATAAGATCTTTTAAGTATTTGGATTGAGAGTTTGTGAACCAAGCGCTGGCGGATCAGGAACTAGTAATACTGGAGATTTATGCCAACAGGATGGAGAAACTTGTTAAATATTTTATAAGTATACTTATTTTTGAAACAAGTTCGGTTATGCATAGGCCAAATGTTGTTAGGCTCACAAATATGCATAAACCTCTAATACATATGTAGACCGCACGGGTAAAACTACAGATATCACATTTTTCTCATTTTGAGAAAAACAAAATTTAGTGTTTAGTGACATTAGATATCTGTTTATTAATAGTATATTTAATTAAAAGTATATTTTTATGACATTTTAGTCCTAACACAAAATATATAAATGCAGTTTTTGCGCTAAATACAAGAATTATTTATTCACAATGTTCTTTTGAAAACAAGACACTTATTTTGGACATCTGTGTTTTTTCTCTTGTAAATTCATTAACTCATAAACCACGTTAGCATACAACCCTTTAAAGCACTTATTTTTTTAAAAGTAGATGGTTACACGTTGTAATATACAACCTCAACGTACTAAATATGTGATGGGTTAATAAAGCCGTCCCCCCTTCTTTTCAAAAAAAAAAAAAAAATGTATGTAAATAAAAAATTATATGAAAGTTTTTTTTTAACTTTATACAAAACAGCACTGCAACCTTATCTCTTCCCCAATTTTATCTGAATACCATAGATGATTCCATGATGTCTGTGCTCCATCACTTTATATCAAGTTTGTATAAACCATACAAAAACCAATTGTGAAAACATCGTTAATAAAAGTGTGTTTTTTTAATCTCAATAATTTTTTTTTCAAAAATATGATAAAAGAATATCAAATAATGTCTTATTTTTTCCACTTAGAAAATGTTTAGCTTCAATAAGTTTTGAAATTTTTAACGAAAAAGAGGCAACAGAGTTATGTATGCTTGTTTCATTTATCAGGCACTTCGATCTTTGATCTAAACATATGGGATGTAGCATACATAAAATTAAATATTTCCAATTTTTCATATAATTGAATTTTAACTAGTCTTTAGTATTTCAATTTCTCTAAGTGAAATTGTCTTAAATAAACAAACAACCAAGAAGTTTGGCTTTGAAACTCTGCAAATTTCAGAAATTTTTCTTTTATCATATTTATATATACTATTTAACTGTTATGGTTTTTTGTGAGATCGTCTAGTGTTTCTGCCAGAAATTTTTGATTTGCAATGGCCATGTTTCTGTGACATTCTATAGAGGTGACATGCCTATACAGAATGTGACAACAGTGGCGTAGAAAGTTTTTTAAATGTTTTAAATTACCAACTTATAAATAACAAAATAATTTCAAATTTTTTTACGTTTTTATGTATGGCGAAAAGATCCATTAAAAAAATAAAATAACTGTGATAGAATGGAAACAAGAAACCCTAAAATCCTAGCCTCCCCCCCTGCCTCGAATATGAGAGGAACAAGTTGAATAAAATATTTTTTGTACTATTTTCAACCAGACTTACATTTTTCAAGAAATTTTAAGATTCATAGTAAAATATTTTATTGTTTAAAAGTTATGACCATATAAAGTTTGCAACCCCTTCAAATTGAGGGGGGTTTAAACTTTATATGGTCATAATTTTTGAACAATAAAATATTTTACTATAAAATTATAAATTTTTCGATGAATATAAGTCTAGTTGAAAATAGTACAAAAAATATTTCATCCACTTGTTGCTCTCACTTTTGGGGCAGGAGGGGAAAGCTAAGATTTTAGGGTTTCTCGTTACCAATCTCCTATCACAGTAGTTTTTTTTTAAAAGAATCTTTTCATTATGCATATGAACGTAAAAAAATTTGGAAATTTCGAGAAAAGATTACTACATTTATCCAACAACATCC